AATATTTAAATCACTTTGTGCGAACTAGATGATTAAGTTCGTATTGATCACCTCGAAGCCTACCTAAGATTGCCTAAGCGACAATCTTACTGTAAATGTGATTTAGCGGGTCTGGCTTGCCTTGAATTCCACATTTGCCATGATTTATTGACACCTGTAGATGTGTATTGAAATGATAGTAATATGGCCTCGATATTCACGATCCAATATCGAAGCATTGCGAGTAAAATATACTAGCAGTCCTTCGATCAATTTAAGCACCTAGGGCGACTAAGTATTTACTAAATAGTAAAGTTATAATTATCCTATTTATGCGATAATCCTGTCTCTAACCAGTCTGGTATTAAGTTAAAGTGAAGCAAATTCAACACACAAAATAAACAATTTATAAAGCAAAGAAATTGTACAAGTATAATAAGATAGCAAATATTTATAGCATAAAATAAATGAGCTTACACTCCAGAAATTCTGTGATCTCGACTGATAGCTTGGGGGAAGTCAATCAAGACAAGTTTCAAATCTTCTATTTGTTCAGTTTCAGCATCGAAGTCTTGTTTAGAGAAAAAAAATGAATCGAAGTCATCGTCTTGTCCAGCCTCAGGCGAACATCTGGAAACCATCAAATTAAATTCATTTAAGTCACCATGGACGAGGCCATTTGCTGCTAAAGTGACCAATAAGCCAATAGTCTGATCATATAAATTTCGGGCAAGCTTTGAATCGTTTGCCTTAAGGATTCGTTGAGGAAGCCTATTCAGCTGGATTGCACAAGGTATGTGCATCATGACAACAGCATTCCTGTTGTGGGAAAGTGGTCGTGGGACTGGCATGCCAATATGATGAAGAGCCTGATTAAAATGCATAAATGGTGAGGATATTAGAACATATATCGTATATATGAAGATCAAGATAACGTGGCCTTCGTGTGTCCTTTCGCTTGACTCCATTTTTACGTGGTCGGAGCTGCATGGAGAACTTATGGAACATACCTAGTCCTTTTTTGTATCCTATAGTATTCACGATCATCTTAAGCGTCAGGCCGCTGTTTTGGCAGGTTCCCGGATGTTTAGAAATCATAATCAATGACAAGTCGTAGCTCAATACTAAGTATAGTCATTAGACGATACCAGCGGAACCACAGAGAATGTACAAAATCAGATTTCCGATACTGGAAATTATCATAAATACAAGGATAGAGGATGGAGGACCAGGGATGTTCCATAAGGACTCCCTATCACTACAACAGAATTAAGTAAGCGAGATTGAATAGCACTAGAGCCAAAAGCCTGAGTAGAGAAATAATTTCTATAAGTCTGTTAAAAGAGTATTAAGCGCTGGAGCAATGACAGCCAAATAGGTTAGCGCTGACGTCAAAATTTCACATTAAGGCGTAGTTACGAATGAACCACTATAAAATTGAGCATATATATATAACTACTTTGGCTTCATCACATATAAGAACATAGTATATTTCATGTACATAGCGAAGTGATATCAAGATACATCATATCATTGATTAAAATTGAATTATATACCAGATGAATGCCAATTTCGGTAGGTAATTATTAACATTTTCTGAAAAATATGAGTGATTTACATCGTTAAGATTCAAGTAGGAACCCCTCACAAAAATAAAATTTCACCCATTTACCTAAGCTATAGTTAATACAAAGCAAGACCATTTCGTATCTGGTGGAAACGAAAGAAAAGGCACTTAAAATTACTCTACAAAATAGTATAAGAACAATGAGAATAGAGGAATCAATAATAAGTGCTGTGGCACTAAAATCAAGCAATCACCGCAGTTTATACCTTCATTATTTGGAATTCCCTAGATGCTGCAAGACGGCTCAAGTATATCCACGAGCATTTCGCCCGGTGCTGATGGTATTCTCTCTTTTCTCTGACCTTTCTAAATGAAATACGACCGAGGCGATGGAACTTAATAACGATGTATTGTGAATCCTCTTGTAATGATAATTTTTCCTCATTATCATTCGTTCCAGAAAGAGCCAAATAAACATCTGATTCTTTACCAGATCCAATCATGGCGCCCAAGTCGCCCACAATGCCCGACTTGATAAGTTGATTTAGAGCAAGATAATCATAGCCCATATTTGTAAGACGATAGCCACGGTAACCTAAAAAGTGTAACTAGCATTAGATGGAAACATTAAAAATATATCAAAGAGGAGAAGATCCTCAGAATGGAATGATTGCAGAAAAAACGAAACAATGCTGCTTCGTTAATTTACAAATAAGATCATGGGCATCATAGGAAGATGAAGTCAAACATATCAAATAAATACCCGTTCTAGAGTCGACCTCATGGGCAATTAGTCTATTGGGAACCAAGTGTTCCTTGAGGATCTTTAAGACGGAAGAGCCACGCTTGCCCAACCCAGATATCTTGTGCAGCAATTCGTAAGGAACAACTTCATGGTTTTTCATTCCCATTTCTACCTTTGCTATTTAGAAAGCATAATGCTTACTGCAGTGAGGAGACGCCAGGAATCATTGGTAAGGTAGCGGAAAGAATCCTTTTTGATTGACTTAGGCATGTGGTTTCGAAGAATAACGCGGTGAGCCTATTTAAGAATTATTATTCAATAAATTTACAGGTCATACAAAAAAATTATTTTACATTCGTAATCATAATCATTTATTACTAGTTGTTTTAATGTATTACACAAAACACTGCAAACCTTATACAATAATTTTTATACAGATTAATAAAATATTGTTAAGGAACCAATACAAGATTTTGATAAGCGCTCTTTTTAAACTGTGTTAATATATTATGGCGTCAAGTCTTTCACATGAAAGAGTCAATGTAAATAAAGGAGAGATATTGTCAGTCATCGTTGAGGATGTATCAGGAAACATAATTTCTGTTAAGCTTTCTAATGGTGGTAAAACCTTTAAAGGGATTTTGCTTGAACAAAGTAGCTGGTGAGCCTTCCCCTGTTGTTTTTGCCTTATGAGTTTACATCATATCATTAACGCCCCTAAATTAGCTTCGCTAATTTATTGTTTTACATTTTTTGCTGCGTTTTATCTTTCAATATATTGGATTTCTTGACCATTTTTCTCTTGCCGATTCTGCTTCAAACTTTGATATCCTATTCCTCCCATGCCGAATGTCGTTATATTTTATCGTATTTCTCTTTCTCGCTAACTTGTATTTCTTTTGTTTTGTGCGTTTGTTAATGTCTATAAAGCTTTGATTTTACTTTTTAAAGATTACTTCAGATTAAGTTCACCCTCCCTTAAGTCCAGTTAAGTAGGTATGTCCCGGTAATATTGTGCGAATTAACTTTATAAGTCTAATGATTTGGTTAAAATCACGCTTAAAATTAGCCGCCTATTGCTTGTTTGTGCCTACTTTAATAGCTGGCCTCAATATTTGTCCTGTATTACCCACTTTTATCTATTCCTCCCGTAAAAATTGTCAACTTATTTGTTTCTCCTTACTATTAGTGTCTTACATGGAGTGCCTCTTAAATTTGTTTTTTTCCACTTACTCCTTTACAAGGGCTCTTGGCTACTCTTCATCTATTTTTTATTCAGTTTTCCATATTATTTATACTAAAATAACAGCATCTTCAAACTGGCCTTGATTTAAGAAAGCGACTATTTTATTAAGACCTACGCTTTACTTATATTTATTATGCCATTTATTCGGAGGCTTAACCAACTAGTTAAAAACATCAATTTTTATTAGTAATAATCTGAAAACTGGGCCAAGGATCTAGTCCTATTCATAAACTTTTCAACTAATTCATACTTAAAGTAAATGTCTTCTAATGAGCATATTAGATATAAAGTTGGCCAAGCAGCTCTTTCTTATCTCTGCTTTATTCTGAAACATTTTCGAGCGTCCTATCGTGCGCTTGTGTGTATAATATTTGCTTGTCATTCTCATGATTTAATTGATTTATTATAGTTTGGCCAGATTCTACGCCAATCAAGCTTTCCCTTATGGGTTTAATTTACTTTCTTTCTCTAATTCCATTTGATAACCTGAGCTAATTCCTGTTCAAATTCCTATACCAGTTCTTCCTATTTAGGATTTTGGTCATTTTATTAGTTTTAATTCAATAGTATTCCACTTTAATGAAGTAATCTGCTAACACTCATAATAATTGGCTCTACGAAAATTTCCATTTTCTTTCCACTCTAATTTTAAGATCCCTTTTACTCTGATTCCTAGGCGAAATGAAAGGTCTGAATTCATTTGTTATCCACAATCTTTGCATCATTTTGATTTGAGTCGAATTTATTGCATATTATATTTTTTGGACTAAGCAGTATGGCTTAAC